CAGATTAGAAATCCCTTATTCACACGACAAAGCAGCTACTCCCCTGAATCTCCCCCATTGGTTTCAATGGAGCTGCTAGTAAAAGTAATGCACACCACTAAGAGCAAAAGGTTCCTAATCTGGTACTACAAAAGTCACTTGCAAAGGAGCTGTGCTTCTTCACAGATTGCACCAGGTGAGCAACAGCATTTACAGTCAAGTTTCTCACAGACCAGAGTCTGCAAAACTAGAGGGAAAACCTCAAGTGACACAAAGAAAGCCACCCTCCACACCTTGCCTCTTTGTTGGCATTCTCTGTGAAGCTCCCAATGACTGGATTGGTTTGGTGACTCTACGCTCTACTTGTTAGCAATGGTCACTGCAGTCCAGTGTTGTCTTCAAGTCATCATTGTCAAGTCCAAGTCGAGTCTCAAGTCACTACAGTTCAAGTGTCAAGTCGAGTCTCGAATCCCTAAAGTCACTTTTGAGTCAAGTCCCAAGTCGAGTCTCAAGTCTTAATTTAAAAAAATGTCAAGTCACTTTTGTACAAGCCATTAATATTGGCATTTTCGGACAATTTTTTCACCAAGTCGATTTAACAAAATTAGCAAGTCTCAAGTCGAGTCTCAAGTCACAAACAATGAACCCGAGTCGAGTCTCAAGTCGAGTCACTTAGGCGACTTAAGTCAGACTCGAGTTCAAGTCGTGGGACTTGAGTCAACAACTCTGCTGCAGTCCCTGCCTGATGACCATTGGCTGTGAAGCTGGCATTTCTATTGTCTGTGGGGTGCCTAGTCTGCTATCTCCAAACAAGCTGCACATTCCAGGAACACTAAATTTGCATCAAAATTAAACTGAAAGCCAGATGATATCTGTAGCTTTCCCTTTTTATTCTCTGCGATAAACTTGCAAGTGAGGCATATGACTATTTAGTTTACTTCACAAAAGGAAAAAACAACCAAGATAGTCTCAAGAGTGTTATAACTACGCAGGATTTCTTATGTCTCTATTTGTGACAAGGTTTTGGAAACATTTTATCTTTCCAAAACATTCATTCTAATGAGCTAATTTAGTATTAATGGGCATGTTCTGCAGGAATTTCACTGCAATTTACCACTGATTAATGTCAATCTGTTGGAAATGTTACTGTAAGGCATTATTAATGGCAATGATGGTGATTAAGCTAAAATGAGGGTTAAATTAGGAAGCACATTAATTACTGAGTAGTTGTTACCTAGGGGAAATCCATTAACACGTTGCAGAAGGTAGTATGAGCATCTTTCCCATTTCTTTTTTTTTTTTACCCTTTACTGTTGTCATTCTTTCCCACAATGTACTGCAAACAGTGTCCAAAAAGCTTTGTCCGATGAACAACCTCAGGAAGTATTTGTTTGCTCTACGAATTTTAATATGGAGGCTTTAATAGAAGCAGAGTTGTGGTGTAATAATCTGTAATAATATCTCGAACATTCACATGTACTGATTTTATGAATATTGTATATGACTTTCCTGCACTGATCTAGCTCAGAGGTGGGCAATAACACAGTGGTGGTTCACCAGGCTTAGTCCTTGACTGGCTGCCACCGCTATATTTACCTGCATGACTACAGATACCAGAAATCACAGCCCCCATTGTCCGTGGATCGCCATTCCTGGCCATTGGGTGTGGTGGGAAGTGTTGCAGACCCATTGGGCCTGGGACGGTGATCAGCCAATACCTGTGGCTGTACAGATAAATATATTTTGGGGGGCCTGCAAGGAGCTAACCCTGTCAGACCGGATCTGGCCCGCAGTCCAGTATTCGCTCACCCCGATTTGGTTTAATAGGGGAGAATGGGAACAATAAGCAGGGAAGCAACACTTGTAAAAACATCAGATAAAAACATCAGCATAACTGAGAAAGACAAAGGGTCTTGTTTGCTAGCTTCTAACAACTTCTCTCCTGCTCTAAACCTTGCCTTGCGGGAGCTAGGAATTGCCAAAGGGCTGTGAACATTTTAAAAGTGCATTGAGTCTTGTGGGGGGAGGGGAATGAGTTGCAAGGGGGTGTCAGTGAGCTCTCCCAGGCTGAGGCCTTGTCTACAAGTACAGGTAGATCGATGCTGTGGGGCTCAATCTCCCGGGGGTCAATTTAGCGGGTCTAGTAAACACCCACTAAATCAACCGCTGATCATGCGCTCATCAACTCCTGTACTCCATCAGATCAAAAAGAGTACGGGGAGTTGACGGGAGAATTTCTCTCGTCAACCCCTCACAGTGGAGATGTCATGTAGACTCCAGCTATGCTAGTCTCATAGTTGGAGTCTCATAGCTGGAGTGGTATAACTTCGCTTGAGATCGCCCCCTAGTGTAGGCCTGGCCTGAGAAAGAGAGCAGCCCTGTGAAGAGATTCTATAGGGAGCAGTGCTCCTAGAATGCTCATGGATAAGAGGGGTAAACACCTAGCCACATGTGGTGCACTGAGCTGTTTTAAGATCTCTTTTCTCTTTGTTCTAAATAAACAAGCCTTTGCTTGGAGCTGTTTGGTCACTTGTCACTGTTGTCATTGCTCTGCAGGGAAGGCAATGCAGGGCATGAGCCTGAGTCAGCCCTGCTAGGTAATCACGATTCGCACCGGGCACTCCAGCCCCCAGGATGTGCAGGATGTGAGAACCACAGGATTCCGTCATGAGCCAGGTGGTGGCTAGAGACTGAGACCTGGAAGTGGGGGCCCTCCACAAGACCAGGGTGCATCAGAGATGCAGTTGTAATACAGCGACGGCATCATGTACACAGTACGATCCATCACATCGATTTAATGTCTGATAAGGCTTGGGTTGGAGTGATGTGCAGAGTGCGAAACACGCCCTCATATTTCTGACTTCTCAAGCCTGTCCTACCTGAGGCGCTAGTGACCATACACCAAGGACAGGTGCTTTGCCTTTCAGCTGGAAAGTCTGTCATATCAGAGCAATGCAGGCCAGGAGAAGCCCACATAGAAGGAGGCGGCGATGACCATGTGGCAGGTAGGCACCACCTTGTTGCTTGTGTGGAAAGAGCAAGTAGGAATGATGATACTATCTACAGGCAGTCCCCAGGTTACGTACAAGATAGGGACTGTAGGTTTGTTCTTAAGTTGAATCTGTATGTAAGTCGGAACTGGCATCCAGATTCAGCC